TAGTTACACTGGCAACTTAAACGCAGCTGCAACATCGCCAGCAACTGGCACTGCCACAGCCACTGCCACCGCAACTGCAACTGCAATGTTGCCGTGCTAATGACCAGCCTCGGACAGCAGCGTAATATAAACTGTGGCATTGTCTGACCGAAGCAATAGCTGCAACATCGACACCACCAACAGCAACATCTAATACAGCAGCCATGGGCGGAGGCCGACATATATCAGTGGGAAAAAATCCTGATAAAAAATGTTACTTTACAATGCTACTATAAGAAGTTAACTCTTAATCTGGAGTTGACAAAATGGTTACACAAATTTTGGTCACATCTGAATTGTAAACAGAATTTAAACAGATTTTTCTTGAATTAAAAACAAAAAAATGTTAAAACTTTAGAACCCTTTGCTGGTCTCTTTGTAGCCATAGGATTAGAGACTCGAAGCGCAAGTCAAACACTACAAGTCTCTTAAGTATTTTCGATGTAAGTGAAAACAATTGAATGTCGAAGTTTAGGACTAACAGTTGGCTCATAAAAGTATAGACCTAAGCTCATATACTTTTGGTCGTGCTGCTATTTTTTCACCCACTAATACTATGTTATATACATATTATAAGAAGTGAGTAGTCCTTTTATCAAGTTAAGTTTTTTTACAGGTGACTTATGTCGATAAGCTCTTAAAGCTCCGTGATTTCAGGTATGTTCTTAATCTTTTAACTGTGATTTTTACCATTGATTCGAGGATCAGCCGCGTAACTAAGCTCTACTGCCTTCAACTATACAAGAAAACGAACCTGCTTTTCCATTCTATGGTATAATCTTGTTTTCTTTTCAAGTCCCTAAAATCTGTTTTATGGACCAGCATCTTGTTCAAACTTTGCAATTATGTATTTTCTATCCCCATTTACTTCGAGCTGAGCTATTCTGATTTCAGTCTGAATCAAATAAAAATTAGCTAGTTTATTATCCATTTTTTCGGCAAGATGTTATTTTTTGGACTGGAGATAATATATATAAAAAGCGCTTTTTAATAATAAAACCAAATGAAATACAGTTTCTTAAAAACGTGTGATTAAGGCTTCGTAATATTCCAAAAATTGCTGCCAAATCGATTGTAAATATTGTTAAATATTTGATTAGGTAATTAAATTCATTTAGTTAGCATTTACTTGAAAATATCCTTCCAATTAAATATGAAATGATAAAATGAAAAGGAGCAGCAACTTTGTTGTACAAGTGAATGTTTTAATTGAACTAAATTTAAAATGCATTTCAAAATGGAATAATTTTTTCAATACCCTACGAAGCAAGCTATATATATTAAGTACCGATTCTGGCTACGCCCATGCCAGCAGCAAATACCATATCGATGTTGCTATCAAGCCCAGCTCTGGTGTGTGTCTTATCCATTAGCATTGCCACACTAGGCTGACTTTAATCGTAGCGCAGCGGCGGGTGTTTACGCTTCAGTGTTTTTTGACAGCTTTTCGAACGCTCCAAAGGTATGGGTGGGGGCTGTGGTGGCGTTGGCGACTTGGCTTATTAGCATTTGCCGAGCGACGCGTGTTTGAAGGCAACAGCACATGCTGATAGAAATCAAACCTGTTGATTTACCAGCATTTAGTTGTGATTTATTGTGCGGACAGACAGACAGATAGACCGGCCGACAGACAAACAAACATTTGTACAAATACTCGTAATATTTTTGGCAAGGCAATTGCCACCTGCCTGATGAACAAACGAGTGTAACCTGCTGACATTTGCATTTGCAAATGGCGCCCGCAATTGACTGCAGTGGAAGATCATAAAACCAACAATAACACCAACAAAAGTAGCAGCTACAACAACAACAACAACCACGGCAGCAACATGGTCAGGCAATGCATTGGAACGTGATAAGCATTTGACACTTATTGCCTGCAAATGTTGCTGCCACACGAGCGAACGCGCGAGCGCGCGAGCGGCAACGTCAAATGGCGCAACAAGAAAAGTCGTGCTGCGTTTGGTTTATATTCGAGCGGCACGAATTTTCTGCCGCAAAATGTTGCCGACTCCGGGGCCGGCATCGGCATCGGCAATTGTTGCCAATGAAAAATGTTGGCAATGAGACGGAAAGGTGGCAAGACGGCAGCAGCAGCATCGGCCGATTTACGCGATTCACAAATATGCAAGTAAGTACGAATATAACTATAGTCGTACTGTGACAAAATCAGCTAACAATGTTTCTAAGCACTTGCGTCTACAGAAGCTTTGCTACTGCAACTAATTTCACTGATCGGCACAGTGGAATGAGGAATAGATAAACGGGTGAACTGAAAAGACAGGCAAAGGATCCTCTCATAGCAACAATAGTTTTCATTTTTAATTACATTTTAAAGTATTACAAGTATTTTGAGCTCAACGATTATGGTTATCATAATGAGGAAGCACAATCAAATGGTACAAAATGGAAAAGAAACAACATATAAATTAATTACAGGAAAATGGAACAGTATTCAAAATCAAGAAGTGAAATGCAATTTGTTTGGAACATTGTGGTATGGAACATTGTGGAAATCGAAGCAAGCGAAATGTGAGTTTTCTTTTATATAATAGTTATAATTTAAGGAATTTTTAGGAATTTTAAAAATATTCTACCTGCAAAAATACACTTAAATAACAGCCAGAAAAACAGCACAACATCTCCCAATTTATTTTTCTACATACTCCAATTTCCTTATTTATTTGGATAGTTTATTTATCGAGAAATAATACTTCAATTTTCTCTGATTCTTAATTATTTCGAATGATAAAAATTGTGTCATTGGGTAACGTTATTCGATCTAAATCAAAACTTTTTTGCAATGCGAATAAAAAAATTTAAGCAATACTTAAACATGTAAGTAATATGATAACATTATTAATTTGTTGTCATGTAAAAGTAGTTTTAAGGGCATTTTAACAAATCTTCGAACATTCAATGACACAAGTGGTAGTAATATTAAAAGTCAAGAGAATTTCTTGCTAATGGATTTTCATTCGAATACAAACCCTTAAATAAAACGATATATTTCTAGCCAGTGTGCTATGTTTGGGAAAAAAGAAAATAGCACGCGATGCGCTGGCATGAGCCTGGACAACGGGCACGACTGGAAAATTGCATCGGCGGCAAGTGGCAAGCGGCAAGTGGTGAGTGGCAGCAGTAGCAGCGGCTCGCTTGGCTGCGCAGCGGCACTTGCAGTGGGCCACGTGTTGCGCATGCGCTTCGAGTTGGACACGATCCACATCCACGTTCAGAGACGCCCTCAGCGTTTGTCAGGGTCGACTGAGCGTTCGTGCCATTGCAGTGGCAATTGTTCTACGCCGCACGTAGCACGTTGCAAGTTGGCGTGAGCAGCACAAACAGCACAGCAGCAGCAACAACAACAACAACAACAGTAGAGCAACACCTTCACTCTCATTGCCTCAGAGTGCCTGAAACCGAAGCTCAGCCTGAACCTCAGTCAGAGTCTCAGTCTCTGATAGTGGTGCGATGATGTATGGCCACTGCGATTGTAGGCGTCAACTCACGTTTATACTTTGTAGACATTATCGCGCCTGTTTATCTTTAAATTGCAAGTAAATTACTTTGGCTCGCGAATAGCGCGAGCAGCGGCAACAACGCCAGAAACAACACCAACAACAACAACAGCACCAGCAGCACCAGAATATGATAAATTGTGGCCGGAGAGTTTTGGTTCCCCCTAGACGTCGTCGTTGAAGGCTGTGAGTGACGCATTGATGGCGTGTTGGCATGATGGAATAATGAAGCAGAGGCTTACTTCCCGGCCTGTTCCCGTTCCGAATTCTAATCAATTATTTGGTTGGAAAATTGCTGGCAATTACTAATTCTTAAAGACTATTCAATTGGACGATGCACCGGAAGTTGTGAAAGGCATGAATAGACCAAAATAAAACCACATCTTAAAACAATTAACTGAAAAAAAAATTAAGTTAATAAAGGAGCGAACCAAATTCCAATGAAAAGCTAGTTAGAATGCTTAAGAAAAATGAGAAGTCTTCAACTCTTTGGGTGTAGATTTATCAGTCAGTCCCTTCAGGCAAACTCACAGAGGTGTGTGGTCAGAGAAGTCCACGGAAATGGTTAAAAGGTGACGTTTTTAGAGTAAAAATGTTGACAGTAGATGAAAAAGATATTTATAATCTGAACTAAAAACGCAAAAACAATTGTGCAAAGCGTAGGCAGTTGGGCATTTGGAAAATATTAAATGGAAATAATAGTTAAAATTAATAAATCAAAAAAGTTTCTCAGGTTTTAAGTAATTTATAAAAATGCTGAAATTCTCATCAATATAGCATGCATTATATTTTACTCGGAAATATATATGATAATTCAAGTAAAAACAAACCATTCTCTATGCCCAATTAGCTCAGAAGGATTTCTGTTCCTTATGCAATTATTGCAAGGCTAGTTAAGATATATACGTTTTATATAAAATATACAAGGAAGTGCTTTAAAAACTAGAACTATTTTTGATCACACCTTTTCCGTATGTTTTTCTATCTCCCTAAATAATGATTTTCAATTTCTTTCACTTCAGCCGCATTTTGAAATTCACGCAATTCCCTTATTGTTTGCTATTTATATTGATCACTTTTTTTTTTCAATGATTGATTATTCACCATTTGGCAGTTATATTTTTGCTTGATTCCTTGCCACGGAACAAATACTAAGACGATTAGCGCTGGTATTGCCAGGATTGTTGCTAGTCCATTACGAAACAGAAGCGCCAAATTGAAAACGATGTTGTATTACTTTTTAAATGCAAAACTGTTTGGTTTTGAATAAAAAATCGCTCGTAATTTATTCGAGTACGAAACTAAAGAGTAAATATAAATGTGCGCGGGCCACGCGGCGTATGCTCAATAAATTAGCAATGAAAGCGGCGTCGTTCTTAATGCAGCATTGGATATGATGGATGGATGGATTGTGTGTATAGTGTATATGGATGGGGAAATCTCTTAATAATGCGTCTCAGTGATTCTCACTTTGCCGTATTTGCCGTGCAGATGGTGCTTGGCAAAGGCCAAGATGTTCGCAGGGCTGTGCGTGTCCAGATGAGCGGGATACACCTTATGGACTAAAGCGGCATGACTGTGATGATGGTGGTGCACCAGAGGGGCCGAATGATGGTGCACATAGCCATGGCCATAGCCATGGTGGAGATCGCTGTGATGCAAATCGGCGGCATGGACATGTTCATCGACGTGGGCATTGTGATGAACCACATGGTGATCGACCACGGGATTGGTGTAGTGCAGGAAGTGGTGGGGCTCGTGATGCACCACCTTGGTCACGTGATGCACCGGCTCCACTTGATGGATGGCGTCGTGGTGGACAATCTTGGCCGCTGGGGCATGCACATCCGTATGATGCACATCCAAATGGCCGACATGCTCATCGTGGTGATGGTAGACAGGATGCGGATGCTCGGCTCCATCAATGACCACTGCCGAGGAGTGGCCCAAATGTATGCCATCCGAGTGATGCACATCGGCGTCCACGAAGTCGTGATGCAAGTCGTGATGATCGAATTGATCGTGATGGTCCACATGTGGCAACAAACCCGCCTGTGCAGCGCCCAGCACGGCCAAAGTGCAGATCAGGAACTGCCAAGGAAGCAAGAAATGTGAATGGGAATTTGTCTTCCCGAAGCCCCAACTGGACTTACCTTCATTGTAGAGATTTCGCGCTTAGTTGCTTGTATGTATCCAAAAAGTTTAAAACGACACTTGCTGCTTCGACTCCGGGCTGTGTTCGACTGTGCTCTAAACTGGCAAGCCCACGCACTTTTAAAGCCCTGCAAATTCGGCAGATTCGACAAATTCGACAAATTCCGACAATTGCATGTTGGCCAACACAACGTGTCAAACGTTGAAGTCCCCAATCAAAAATTTCAGCGCCAAAGCAATGAAAGTGATATGTGTTGGTCAGCCAGCAGTTTGTGGCCTGATCGGCATATCCAATGAGCTCCCACTTGGACGAACGTCACATTTGAAAGGCAGTGGGAGCCCCAAAGAGCCCACTACACTCACACACACTCACTCAATTATGTAAAGAGTGTGCGGCCAGTCAATAAACCTTTTCTAGGCCTCATTGCGCTGGTCGTGTCATAATTTTATGGCACACCGCATGCCCACCAACCTAATGAGCCGCATTTGAATTTGGGTTAGTCCCCTCCCGATTACATTGCACTTACAATTACAATTACAATAACAATTACGAGTTCAATGCATTTGGCAATCGGCAGAAGGGGAGAAAGTATTTGAATATTGTTGACCAACATAGAGTTTATAAAACTCATATGCACGAATCTGCGAAATACTAACAAAATATTTGCAATTCGCATACAAAACATACATCACGTATCTATGGGGAATTCGAAAAAACCCAACAACAACAAAAGAACCCCCAAAAAAAAAAAAATATTAATAATTGGAGAATAGCGAGCTGTGTGAAGTGCAAGATTTTTGCACGAAAGTGTTAAAAATAAGAGTTGTGGGTGTATTTGTTCACACGCACCAATTCTGGGAAAGTGGGAAGTGTTAAAATGGCAATGACTTGCCGCATTTGGACTTCCGTTGATATGTCTATAGAGTATATGTCAATATGCAATACAATATTCCCATTAATTGTTCTACAAATATGGCCGCATCTGATATTGATTTAAGAATTTGCAAATCAAAACTATAGTTTGCAATTGTAGAATACCTGCAAGCAAATAAATTGCCAATGAAATTAATTGCGATTTTTTTTTTTTTTAATAAAACTAAGCTATTTGTGAATTTGTATATCTATACAATTTTGTTTGGTCAATATAGGAATATTTGTCCAAGCACTGCCATTAGTTTGATCATAGAAAACAGCATTATGCAATTATTTAATTATAACAATAATATGCGCACAAAGAGCTGAAGTTATAGGATATTTTATAAAAATCTTGTAGTAGATTACATGAGTAGAGAGAAGTAATTAGAAATAAAACAAAAGGTAAAAATACGGATAATCGAACTTAATGAATAGTATCACTAGAAATATTTTTTATGCATTTGAAGAGTACACGTTCTGTCAAGGGAGCTTTTTTCTAAAATTGTGTGCATCTATACATGTCGAAGTCCGTTTTCAAGCGGTTCGCGTGCAGCCAAGAGAGGCTTTATGTAGAATTTTTCACAAAAAAGTGTCTGTGTCCGGTCAAGAGAGTGTCCTGCCATGAGAGACGAACTTGCTCTAAAAAGTAAACCAAAAATAATGTTCTAGGAAAAGTATCCGCTTACGAGGGGTGTACGCTTAAGGTACCATTAATATGAATGTTGTTGATGATCGTTATTCGATTATGTTGAAGGTCAACGGGACGGCCAAGATCCAGTAACCCAACGAGAACAATAAGTAAGTGAAACTTTTTATATCGGCTTGAGTTGCTTTAGTAAAGTGAAGCAGGCCTGAATCAGCTATTATATAGTAGATTACAAGTTGTGAACTATAACATACAATGTTTCAACAAGCCCCAGCACAGCTCGAATGTAATTAGAATATTAATGCAAATTTACAATTAATTGACAGCAATACATTTGGATAAAATAGCACAAAACCATATCCTTATCGAAGGATCTGACTCAACAAACAGTTTTAAGGTGGCCTCAACCAACAATCTAACTGATTAGCATATCTGTTAATATGGCTAATAAAACTAATAACTCATTCAACTCGCAGACACACACACACACATACACATACACAACATACAGACAAGCCAATCAGCTGCAACTTCCGCCCACTTGACCCACTGCTAATGAAAAGGCAATGCATGCAGACACGTTCGATAAATAAATTATTGGAAAATAATCATAATTCAGTTGCAGCACTTACCTTCAACTAGAAAACTGAGCTGCATTGGCGGCCATTAAGTGGGTCAGTTGCCGAACACTGTGACGTTTGGCTAATTACATAATAATTTGGCCAATTAAACGCTAGCGCTAATGAGCGACATTGTATGCGTAAAAGCAGCTCAGCCGCCGGGTGGAGGGGGAAGTGGAAGTACCACGAATAGCTTTGGGCGGACAACGCCAACACCCCATGCAACAGACTACAAACTTCCACCCAGAGAAAAAAACAAAAACATGCATAACTACAAACGTGCCAGAAATATCTAATGGGTCGCCGCCGAACTTAAAAAGAAGTGAGCGACAAAGCGACCTGCACGTTACCAATACCCAACTCTACTATACTATATATACAAATATCGCGTATATATGCATATACTACGAGTATACATGTATGTTTAAAATGCCAGCAACGTGCTGCGCGTTGCCCACGCGGCCTGTCACATGTGTCGGCTGCCAAATTCGAGTGCGAATTTGTTTTTAGTTAGAGTCGTAGTAGTATTTGATTTTTGTTTTACATTTTCCGTGGTGTTTATTTCGTGGAAGCGCAAACGCAATTTGTTCGCCTGACAAATTTTGTAACACTTGCTATGAATTTTGCATTTCGGCCCGCCCGACTCTTGAGACAATTCTTTTTTGGCGCACTTTTGGAATTGATTGTGAGCGACGACTTACACCTGCAACCACAGCAGCAGCAGTAGTAGCAGCAGCTGAGCAGCCAATTAACAAAAAGTATCTAGAGAGGCGTGTTGCACACAACAACAACAACAGCAACAGCAGCAAGCACAGATATTTTGTAATTAGACGTGGCAACAACAGCGGCGTCAACTCGCAGCGCTATTCAGTATGCAAATTGTTGTTGTACTTGTACTGTCGGAGCAGCAAAAAATTTACATAAACCAGCCAGACAAAGAGAGTGAATATAGAGAGCAGATAAAATGAAAACAACAATCTAAATAGTTATCTGCGGCTACAGCGAAGCTATGCCCCCTGCTTTCTCACCAAAAAAAACACTTATTTTTCAAAATTGTCGAGAACTTTGAATCCAACAGATTATTTGCACTAAGGGACTGATTGTTCGAATAACTATTTTATGATTAACACGTTGGCATTATCATAAAAGCCTTCTTAACCGTGGTTTCCAATGAAATGAAAATGGGTTTAAAAGGAGAAAATGTTGTATCCAAATGTTTTATAAGTATTTACTCCTTTAATTAAGGATGTTTAGTGGGAGACTGAATAATTAGAGGTTTATTTTCTAATTTATTTTCGTTTGGAATGGGGCTCTCAAATTTAACTTTAATTTTAATATATGATATCGAAAGAACAGGTATGCCTAAAAATATATTTATAACAGACATAAACATTTTTCTTTTTTATTTACTTTAGTATATAGCCAAATATTTTACAGGACAAATTTGAAGATAAAAATGTATAGAAAAGTTACAATAATTTTTAATAACGACTCCGAATTGTGAAGCTATTCACAAAATCAATAACATTTTCATTTTTCGATATGCAAGCAGACATATTCTGAGGCAAATCTATTCCTATATCTTCATCAAGCTAAATAAATTCTCAGAAAACAACAACAATAAGTCATCATTATGCTTAGGCTATATTATTAAAATATTCATTCCTTGATAACTTTGAAATTAAGATTCATCATCAAAATAGATCTGGAATACTACAACAAATCTCTAATCAATAATTAATAGTATTTAGTAATTAAAACATTCAGCAGAAATTTGAGGATCCCAATGCTACTCGTTTATAGAATAGCAGACTCTCACTCGTGCTAACAAACACAATATACCCCTTCGTTCAAGGTGAAGGGTATAGAAAACGCAAAAAAAACAAAAATGAATTTTAATTTATTTACACAAAAATGACGGCAGCGGCGCATGTTTGTAATTGAGTGCATCGTTAGCGAACGGTTGGGGGCGGGGTGGGATGCATTAGCGGCGGCCCGCTGCCAACAACTAATTTAATGCCAGCAGCAGTGACAGCAGCAGCAACAACAAAAACAACAACGACAACAACAACAGCAACTGTTGAGGCACCGGCGACAACAACGACGGCAACATGTCAACAACAACGCCTGCCCCCATCGTCTGCAACTGGGCTGAAGGATGCGGCCGGCGCGGCGGCAATGGCGGTCCGAGTGGGTTGAGGGTGCATTTATTTATGCCGGCCATTGTGGGCAGCTAACATGAAATACATTCTTTCAGCCCACAAATCAGCGGCAAGAAAAATTTGGCTGCAATTAATAACCCGTCTTTGGCTAAAATATGAATATAAATTTGGGTTAGAGATGTATTCCGATTGGCCAAAAGAATAAACTGAAAGCGATTAAGTGCGAACAGATGCTAAGGAAGAGCATTCGGTTTGATTTGATTGTAACTGTACGAGTATTAAACAAAATCTTGGCCAACTTCATAAAACTTGTAAGTTAAATAGCTTAAAATTAAAATAAATTATAGGTTTCTTTTAAAAACTCGTAGCTGAGCTGTGATGAGTTTAAGTAATTTAAAATTTTAAAATATTAATATTTGTATTAAAAAAGTTATTTCGAAGTTATCTTCTTAATGAAGATAATCTTGATAATTTGATAATCCATCTAATCTATCTAGCGATTGATCTACAGCTTAAAATTTTCAAAACCTTTTGGGAGAAGAAAAGTAAAAAATTTGGCTGCAATTAATAACCCGTCTTTGGCTAAAATATGAATATAAATTTGGGTTAGAGATGTATTCCGATTGGCCAAAAGAATAAACTGAAAGCGATTAAGTGCGAA